GTCAGGGAAGACTCCCCGAGGACATACGTTCACTGAAACACACACACACAAAACCAACCTATCACTGCCTTTCCATCATTCTATTCATTCTATTTTACCTCCCCCAGTATCTAGCCGCTCTTCCTCCTTTGGGCTTCTATAACTTTAACAAAAAGACAACTATTGCTTCTGCTTCTTTTAAAAAACTCAGGGCTTGTGTCATCATGGCAGGTGTCATCCTGATTTAAAGCCATTCCTGCAAGGTCTATCAATATGATGCTTGTCATGTGAACACAGAACTGTCTCAGCAGGGGCTAAATGTTTGTTTGAAAATCCCTTAGTTCTGTGCTTGAGGAATGATGAGCTGAGTAGGTTTTAAACAAATACTGTTTATAAGAGAGACAGTATTTAGGGGTGGGTCAGATGTTATGGGAGGATTTTGGTGGAGCAGCATCCTTTTTCTGAGCCCAGCCCACCCCCAATGTCCAGGAGACACAGGGGCCTGTAGGAACTGTAAATCTGAAGCAGGAATGACCAGGGTCCCCCACACCGAGAATGCATCCCCTTAATTAGTGACCCAGCTGAGGAAGCTACACTCAAAGCCTCAGCAGGCATTGGAAGCCTGGACTCTGCCAGATGTTGAAAGAACTGAATGCCAGAAAGAAACACCTTCCACAGAGCACCCTGCTCCCCCCCCCTCCTGCCCCCTCTCCTGCCCCTTGCAGTGCAGCTGGCTCTGTGGCATCACAGGGAGATGGGGCATGAGGCTGCACGTGCTCTGGGGATGAGCGGCTTTGCAGACAATCTGTGGCCAGGGCGAGGGCCCTCCCCAGCCAGGGCGGGGCCCCTTCCCACCGTCACTGTCCCACTCTGGTGGGAACTCACACCCCCACAGCACAAGTCAGACCTTTCGTGTGTTCGTGCCAGAGTTCTCTACTGAGGAATCACATTTAAAAAAAGAACCACCATGTGTTCTACATAAATAATGCAAAGGATCACCCCAAATCATGGAGAGAGTGTGTCAAACAAAGTGAGGTTTTTTTCAAGTGGGAACTTGTGGGGTGACAGGGAAAAGCATCTCTCCTCCAACCTCCCATCCTTGGCCTCCCTGACCCACTGCAAGTCACTGCCAAGGCATCAGGGAAGGAGGCTGCCGTGAGAGCCACAGAAGCTTCGAGCTGTAAGGAACCCTCGAGGACATGTAATGCATCCCTCCCAGGTCAGGAACTGAACTGCGCCTGGTTGTTGGCATCCGCTTGAGCTCCTACAGGACAATCGTCCCTTCAGAGGCAGCCGCAAGTGCTGGGAAGGTCATTCTTAAAGTGGGGAGAAATCAATCGCCCTGCAACTCCTATCCATTGGTGTTGGTTCTGGAGAAACACAGGGGTGTCCTTAAGTCATGCACCATTTCTATTTTCTGCTTCCTGTGCACTCCCAAACACCTTCAACTTGTGGCCCCGAAGTTCACGCACCCCTTCTCTTCAGTCTAAGATCCCTGGTCTTCTCACTGTTTCTCATTCCGCACCGTCTCTCACGCCCCTCAGCGCCCCGGGCCCCATCTGCTGGGCGCCTCCGACAAGGGGGCTGAGAGAGCAGCCAGAGCTCGCTGTGCCTGGGGCAGTCAGCGCTGCGCCCCCTGCAGAAGCCCCCTGGGCCTGACTTCTTCCCCAGGGATCCCGGCCAGGCAAGGAAGTGGGTCCCAGGCCGCCCCCGGTTGACAGGCCCTAGAGACTGCCAGGCCGCTGTGGGTGATGGACACCGAGGCGGTGGCGGCGAGAAGCCCTTCTGGGTACACTGGGGGCCTGCTCACCAGCTCCAGCTGAAGGCGCCTCTCACATGTTTCTAATTGGAGTGACGGGCCTCCACTTCTAAACGGCAGGAAATCCAAAGTTCCAAGTAACACTAACTGGCCTCCCCAGCCGAAGTGCGGAGAGAGACCCTGAGCAGAGAAGAGTCCAGCCACTCTGGGGGCAGATTTCAGACGGGGCCCCAGCCCTGGCGCGGCTGTGGGACACAGATATCCCGGCTGCGGGGCCAGCACAAGAGTCTAAACTTCCCTGAGGATCAGTTACATGGGGAGTTAGATTCAGAATTCTATCCAGCAAACTGTAATTTATTGGTGTCTTTTCTTACAATAACAAAGTTACTTTCCTCGTTTCCAAGAATTCCAAGGAGGCTCCAGAAGGTTTAGTTATGTTTTCCAAAGTGATTCATTTTTGAGATGCTGCCAGCATGAAGAATTTTGACTCCAAGGGAAATAAAATTTAGGGCTAAGTGGAAACCAGAACTTGGAAAAGGAATACAACCTGGAGTACAGTTCCACTCTCACGTACCAGTGCATGGGCACCGAAAGGAATCCCGTTAGGCCAAGGAGCTCCCTACCTCTCTTTCCAGCTGATCCCCTGAGTATTTCAGCAGCTCAACGATTTTGGCAATTAGTTGGTCATCTAGGTCTGTCGGGAAAATTCCAGTTATTTCTTTCAAGAAAAAAAAATTTCTTAAATTTTCCCAGTGCCAATGCTTAGCCTGGTTAGGGACTGAGGAAGACAGGGGCTTTGTAATTCTTAGCAAATTAAATCTTACCTCCCCTCTGCTGAGCAGGCACAAACCATCCTAGACACCCTCTCTTTTCCTTTCTTCTCTCTTCCCTGAGCCCCCAATTCTCACTGTGAAATTCATCACTCTACTTACTGTAACAACGTTGTTGAAGATGTTAGTTCCACTACACATGATCCTATCTGTAAAGATATTTTGGAGACATTTCTCCCTGGTCTTTGGGCTTCCCCTGAACAGATGGTGCTGTTTCCACATGGGCACCATCAGTCCTCGATTTGATCGCACCCCTCCTTGGTGAGGGCTGCTAGACAAGGGAGAGCCAAATTCGTGGCCCCACCTAAGAGGGGGTATAGTCTCCCGGGCCTGCATTTCGAGCACTAAACTCACTTCTAAACCCGCTTTATTTTCTTGCCGCTGTTTCCTTTTTACATTATTTTTCAGATTTATTTTACCATACCAAAGCGTATACTTTGTATGCCGTATCTTTACAACAAGGTGGGGTATAAATAAATAAGATTAATAAGTTCTCCCACCCTGAAGGCTAAAAGGGCAGATGGATGGAGGGATGGGCTACAGTTGGTGTCTGGTGTGTATGTTGGAATGGGGGAGGTGGAGTAGTCGGACTTTTCTGGTCTCAAACGTGCTAACAACGACACACGAGGAAAATGGTCGTTGCTACGGCACAGAAGCCAAACAGAGAAGAGCCAGTTACTGAGAGAACGGCATTTTTTTACTTATGGCACAATCTCTGAACTCACGGGGTCCTCATGTTTGTTCCAGAAAAAAGGGAAAGAGAGGCCAAGAAATTAATCTTGCACGTCATGTCCCAAGAAGGTCAAGTGAAGGACAAGGGAAGTGGGAAGTCTGAGATTCAAGTCACCTGGGAGAAGAGAGAATGCGTGTCTCCGTTGCTCAGGAGTAGTTTTTATCGGATGCTGCTGGCTCTCTTGGGGAAGGTTGCAACAGCGGCCCAAATTTCCCACGTGCACAGAGGATAAGAGCTCTAACGTTAGCTTGGTTTAGGGGTTTTGCTCTACATCGCCCAGGCACACGCCAAATGGCAATAAAGTGGAGACACTTTCTTCTTAGCAGACTGAGAGGTGTCCTCCAGGCCCCTGACTCTAAGCCCCTCTATGGTAAGCTCACCACTCTGCTTCCGTGGTTGGGAGACACTCTTGCCTTGTGCTTTCCTGTGTCGCAGACCCAGGACCCACCTCTGCCCTTCACCACCGCTGGAGTTTGGGGAAGGTCAGCCAGGAGAGAGAGCTGTCATTAGTGAGGGAGCGTAGGACTGAACTTCCTGTCCTGTGGCAGCCACTTGGTCCTGCTCCCCTCAATTCCAGAATTCCTGCAAGTCTGATGGGATCTACAGCCCTAGCTATTGCTGCAGTTTTGATGACAACTGACCCAGTCTGGTGACTACTTCTCAGTTCTGCTTCATGTCTGCACCAGACCTGGTGTCTGACATACCCCCTGCTTTTTCACAGGAGCCAAGGGCAATATTATAAATCCCTGGGCTGCTGCTCCATCCATACTCTCCACACTCCCATGAGCCAATTGGTCCCTGGCCATTGTTAACACGATTAAATCTAACACTGCATTTCCCCCTGCGGACAAAGCTGATTGCTCGCCTTGTGCTTCCCCCTCTCCCTCACTAGACTTTTCTTTGGACTTAGCAGTGAGCTTGGCATGTGGCTGCAATCTGCTGGCACCCTCCCCTTGGCGTGGGCTGGTCTCTCAAGCTGAAGGTCAGTGCCTCCAGGCTGCTGCTGTCCTGCCCTTGGGCGAGGGCAGCTGAGATTCCTACGTTGCAGAGCCTGAGCCGAATGGTACATGAATGCTTGCACACCTCTGGCTGGAAACGCTCAACCCGACACCCACTCAGAGGGGAGTTTACCTTTCTTAGCACTTGCAGCTGGAGATTGGTTGCTCAGGCCCTCCGAGTAAAAGAGGGCCTGTGGTACAAGGTTCCCTTTGGACTTGATGCTTCCTCCCTGGGTGTGCTCTTCTGGAGGTGGCCAGGAATAAACAATTTCAGCAACGCGGTTGGCAATGGAAGCAACTTTGGGGTCCACAGCTGAAACAAGAGAAAATGGTGCTGAGAGGCCCTTCCCAGAAGAACTTGGTTGAGCTGATTGGTACGCAGGGTTGCCCCAAATGAAAAGAGCAGCCTAGATGAGAGGAAAGACCTGGGCTGGCCTGGGAGTGTGCGTGTGCATGTGCGTGTGTGTGTGCATGTGCACGCGCCAGGCAGGCCATTCCTCAGAAAGCACTGGCAGTTGCCTGGCAGAGGCTGGGATGGGGGAAGAGCCCACCAAGAAATGATTGCCACCTTGAAATAATGGTCCTTCCCCACCCTCTTTTTGAAGTCTTGCAAAATTAGGGTCCCCTTTCCCCTGTGTGAGGGAAGAAACACAAAGGGAGTGCTTAGCTCTTTGCTTGAGGAAATGCTCATTACGCTTTTATTTTTATTTATGTATTTTTTTTTGCAGGTCTTTTTTGTTTTGGAGAGCTGGCCTTTATGTGCATAAGAGGGCATTCAATAGTTTGACAAGCCTTTGGGGGTTGGTCACTGAGGAAAGATGAATATCCCTGCTCTCAGGCCATATTCATTACTCAGACCCATTATCAAGTAAACACAGAACTCCCCTTGCTTATAAAGTCATGGGTCTCCTCTTGCCTCCAGGTCTGCTGGGAAATGTCCAATTACTGTTGATAGGAAGCAAGGACACATAAAGTGCAACCCACGACCTTTAAGAATTTATAACCCAGGAAAAGAGCATGTCTTGTATTTGCACACATAACTAGAGAATAAAGCATTTTGGGACCTGAAGGTTTAAATGACACTGACTCCCTGAATGTCATAGCCTGTGAAAGACCAGGCAGCTCTTCTCCTGGTAGGGAATGGGGTCGGTGGGGTGGGCAGGTGGTATGGCTGAGTTGTTCTGGAGTAAAATATTCATTGTTGATTCATTACTAAGTTCTTAATTTTTAGAAGCTTGCACAAGTTTTGTCTTTGATGCCATTTGAAGCAATTGTATCGTGTAATGTTTGAAAAATAATGCTATTGAATTCACAGACTTGAAGTAACAGTGCGGTTTTGGCCAGAAGGATGGTGTGCCCTGGAAATCCCTTTACAAATCAGGAGAGGTGAGAGGCAAGACAATCTTCCTGCTAAGGCCACTGGACACAGAATCCATTAATGCTGTTCCCCTCAAAGGTTTAAACTTACTAAAAAGAAAATAAATAAAAGTGAATTTGTAAATAATAATAATAATAATAATCTTTTATTATATAAGCCATAGTTATCTGAGTTTTCCACTAAACGTGTTCTGCTGAGCCTATTCTTAACTGTACCATTTCACATGCAGTGAATCACAGCTGTGGAGAAATGAAAGCTGAACAAGGAAAAGAACCTGGATTGGTAGTTTCTAAAATTGGTATTGACATCCATTTTTCTACATCGTAAGGCCTCTCACTACTAGACTTTGGTCTTGGGACATCACCTCATCGTTCTCAATTAAGCCTGGAGCCTAAGTCCTGGAAATAGCTGCCCAGGCTAAATGGTGACCTTTTGTTAAAAGAACCCAGGTGACACCAACTGCTGAGCTCTGAGTTATATGTGGCAAAATAGAAATGAAATTCGAGGTTCTTCTGGGTCATATCCAACATAAAACCAACTAGCCAACCAACCAATTTACTGAACAAGAAAGCAAGGAGGGGAAAAGGTGAAAAGAGAGGACAACTGTAAAAATGTTTAAAGCTAAGCCTATTTAAGAGGTAAGCATTTCTACTTTTTAGGGATATCTATGAATCTATACAGGGATCTTGAAATTTTAGGAAATAATAAAAGGTCAAATGACACTTGAGTAGTATGGTAATAGAGAATGTCATTCATCTCAGGAAAGCCAGAAGATTAAAGTCTGTAAAATATTTTTCTGTCTCCTGGCAAAGTCCAAAGACCAGGCCAAGCAGAAAAGCCTGTTTAGATGCCTTCAAACTGCTCTGTTTGCTCCAGAGCTCAGCGACCACACCCAGCAGGAGGAGGGTGCGGTACCACTTCGGGGAGGAGGTGCTCCCCAGATAATCCGACCCTCACTTCTGTTCTAAAACTCTGAGTCTAGTGGGAAGTGGAAGTTTCCCTGATCTAAAGCTGTCCACATGTGAGTTGATTCTCCAAGCCAGGGCAAGGACAGTCACAGGATTTAAAAATTGAGACATTACTGCCACCTGTTGACTAATTATAGATTAGTTACACAGACCCATCAGCCTAGCAGGAGGGTTTTTTGTTCTTGTTTTTTAAAATTTTTAAATCTGGGCATCTGGTACTAGATGTTGTTGAAGGAGTAAAAAAGACTTAATGCTAAGGTTTGAGGATGAAGGTCAACTCTCTATGATGAAGTCTTTTGTGAAATGTTTTATTCAATAAAATGTATTTTTGTCCCGAGGGGAGATTTTGTCAACATGCTTTGAAGTTGTTTTTTTAGAGTGGTTTAGACTTTGTGAAGTACTTTTGTATATAGCTACCTGATCTTTCCATGTCTCCTAAGAGGTAGGGAGGGTGAGGTACCCCAATGTACATCTGGAAACATAGAGGCCCAGAGAGGTGAGTTGACTTACCTCAGGAAGAGCAGCAGCCTGAGGCCCTGTCTAGAGCACTTCCCCTTAGACTGGTCTCTGACACAGAGGTTTAGGGACATGGGCAGTAAGCTTATTCACAGACAGTGGAACCAGAAAGCCGCTCCCGTCACCTTTCACTGCCACCACTTCCTCTCTGCTCCGTCTTGAGAGAAGTAGGGCAATTATTATTAAATATTAATAATAATATTTAATGTCTTGCCTGAGGCCACATTACCAGCTGGAAAGAGATGAACTACCATGCACACAAGAAGGGAAAGGTTTGGTTGCAGGAGAAAATAATCCCCCCAAAGCCTACCTTCGACCCCTAAGTCCTGTTCCACGTTGGACAGGGACCTAGGCCATCGCTGAGCGGGAGGGCCCTGGAACTCCGCTCTCCTTAGCCCCTGAAGGTGTATCTCCGCAGGTGTGCTCTCGGAACCCTCATCCTTCTCTGCGACTCCAAAGAGCGTCCTCCAGGAGGACTTTTTCTTGGCAAGGCTTACGGGCTTCTCACTAGATCGGGAACTTCTGCAAGGCCATGACACCTGTGTCCATGAATCATTTGCTGCCCAGCTCTCCAGTCCTTTCTGGGACAAACTTCTTGTCCTCAGCAGCTTTGGGGAGAAGACTGAAGACGCACTCTTGAAGACGTGGTGTTTGGCATAGAACTCCAGGATTTTGAATTCGATGCTGTCTGGGTCGTCATCATCCAGAGGGATCTCCTCCAGGTCACACGTGCTGGTGGTGCACATGGTGGGCCTGCAACGACAAAGTCCACATGGGCCCTCTACCTGTGGGCCACCTGCTCTTTGTGGGTCAGGAGAGACGGGGCTGAAGCTCAATGAACGTTTATTGAGCACCTATTGTTTGTTCTGGGAGGTGGGGGTAGTTGGAGATGGAGAAGTCAGGGTTCTTTTTGAAAGTTCAGTCATACAGAGACAAGGAAGAGAGACATAGACATAGATAACTCCAGGCAGTGAGCGAGGACCGGAGCAGGGATGCAGAGAGCCAGGCGGAAAAGGTGCGGAGGAACGGAGAGCTGCAAAGAGAAGACGAGTGGAGGCTCTTTGAAAGACAGACAGGGCTTAGGCGGGTGGGTGGCTACTGGGACTTAAGAACAGGATGCGCAGAGGAGAGACTATGGGTGAATTTAGGATGTTTGAAGAGTGGTGAGAGAACTGTATGGCATAAGCATGTGCTTTGTGGTTAGCTGGGGCTCACGATATGGAGGGACAGTAAATGAAGTGGCAGTCAGGACCAGGCTAGGGGGACCTTAGTTAGGCCGAAAGCTTTGCATTGGCTCATGTCGGTCTATCAGGACATTTCAAAAGGAGCCCTAGACTATGGAGGGTGGTTGAAGGTCTTCTTGGGAGAGGGTAGGTGGGCAAAGGAGAAGGCCAGCTCAGGAGAGGGAGCTGTCTGGGGTGTATGGCTCTTCCCACCTTCTCTCCCTTCACCCTTTACCCTCTACTGCAGCTTGTATAGATTTGCTTCTATTTTATTTATTTATTTTAGAGAGACAGGAAGGGAGAGGGAGAGAGGAACATCAACGTGAGATGGAAACCTCAATTGGCTGCCTCCTGCATGCCCTCTACCTGGGATTAAGCCCTTAACCTGGCATGTGCCCTGATCAGGAATTGAACCAGCAACCTTTTGGTGGATGGAACAACACCCAACCAACTGAGCCACACCAGCCAGGGCTGCTTCTGTTTCTTGCCATGTTTGGTGTTCCATGTAATTAAGAGTTCCTCTGAAAAATCCTGCCTTCCTTTTTTTTTTTTTCTTTTACAAGTTTTAAGAGTACTGATGGAGGCAATGAAGAACTTTTCAGTTTTGAGTGGGAGAGCGACATGACCACAGACATGTTTTAGAAAGATTGCTACCAAAAAAAAAAAAAAAGACAGGGATGGAAGGATTTCATCTTTATTTTCATACGAATAACCGGATAGATATACAAAACTGATTTTGTTCAATTTAAGCTTTCATGAAATAATTCCTTTCCTGGTTCCCTACCGGGAAAACATTTCTTTTTGTTAATAGTCTGCTTTGTTTTCTTCTATTGTATGTTAAGGCCTACATTGTCTTTTCTGTTCCACACACCAGAAAGCCAGGACCTGCCAACTCTCATTGGGTTAAAATTTCACAGGCGGTGGATGTATTGAAAAACAGCTTAAGCTCCTCAAATTAGTAGTCCCGAGTTCAAATCCTGGCCATCGCATTGACTAGCTACTTCACCCCTCTGAACTTGAGTTTCCTATAGGTTAGTTGAGAATAATAGGGGTGTTGTGACGGTCCAAGACAATGCATGAGAAGTCAAAATACAGAAACTGGCTCAAAAATGGCAGCTTCTATTTTTTTCCTAGTACACCTGTCATCATCCCAGACCCTCTGACTCTGTCTTGAGGTGGCTTTTAGTCATGTTCCCTTCTTCCTGAATGGTCCTATTCTAAGACTACCTGTGGGCAGGTAAGCTGGTGTGATAATAAATGAACTGTAGTGATATTAACAGGATCAACAGGCCCATCCTCCCTTTTCTTTCCACTGTACTTTCTTATACCAAGACCAGCTTAGCGAGACATGGGACAGTGACTGCAGACAGGGTCTGAGGCAGTGTGACATGGTTCAGATGAATTGGACTGGGTGTCTGGAGGCCGGAGTGTCAGGGCTGGCTCAGCTTTAACTTGCAAAGTCCTTAGGCAAGTACTAAGTCCCCTTGGTCCTTGGTTTCCATTCTCTAACTTTCCTCTCCAATTCTACCATCTGTAGATGAAATGTCTCCCCTGCAGGTCAGCCGGATACTTCCCATCTCCATCGTTGTCTCCTCTCCTTTATTTGGAAGAGCCTCACACTGGATGACATGGAAGCTGTTCGTTTGAGGAACTGCTCCTTGGCCAGGTCTCCATAAAGCAGTAACTTTTTCTATTTATAAAGTGCAATTCACATTGTCTAACTTGCCGACCATAGAGGAGGATTACATGACAAACTGAAAATCCTTTATAAACTATACAGCAATTGTGTGTTAGTCTGTACAGAGGAGTGGTTAATTAACATGCTCATCTCTTGATTCAGATAACCTAGTTCAAATCCTGTGTCATCTGCTTACTAACTGTGTAGCTGGGTACATGTCTTAACTTATTTGTGCCTCTGTTTTCCCATCTGTAAAATGGGGATTACAAAGACCTTTTTCATCAAGTTGGGATGAAGGTAAAAAGAATTACTGCATACAAAACACTTAAAATTGTGCATGGTAGATGATAAATGCTCAAAAAAGATTAGTGGCATTATTTGTTTAAATTATATTAATATGTTGCCTTTTTCTAAATAAATTTTAATATGTTTATAAAAGCAAGCTCATTAAATGCAGCAATTAAGAAAACTAATGACAGCCCTGGCCAGGTGGCTCAATTGGTTGGAGCATCACCCCATACACTAACAGGTTGTGGGTTTGATTCCCTATCAGGGCACATACCTAGGTTTCAGGTTCAGTCCCTGGTCAGGGTGCACACTGGAGGCAACTGATTGATGTTTCTCTCTCACACTGATCTCTCTCTCTTGCTCTCCCTTCCTCTCTCTAAAATCAATAAAAAGAGAAGAAAATTAATGACATGCAAATATTAGGTTTAGCACAAAGTCAACACTTCTTATAGTTTCCTATAGTTATATACATATATATGTGTGTCACACACACACACATATGTGTATATATACTTTCCCAGCACTGAGCACAATGCTTGACACATGGTAAGTCCTCCATAAATATTTGATGAATGAATGAAAAATGATTATAGAGCTGCCAGATAAAATGTGGGACATCAAATCAAATTTGAATTTCAGATGAACAACACATAATTTTTTAGTATGAGTATGTCCCAAATATTGTATGACACACACATATACAGATGCTCCTCAACTTATGATGGGGTTACGTCCAGATAAGTCCATTGTAAGTTGAAAATATCATTAGTCAAAAATGCATTTAATACATCCAACCTACCGAACATCATATGTGCTTTATATGTGCTCAGAACACTTACATTAGCCTACAGTTGGGCAAAAATCATCTAACACAAAATCTATTTTATAATAAAGGATTTGACTCTCTCATGTAATTTATTATGCTTATTGCTTTCACACCATCGTAAGGTTGAAAAACCATAAGTCAAACTATCATTAAGTTGGAGACCATCTGTATTTTAAAAATATATTTGTGGTTTATTTGAAATACAAACTTAACTGGGCACCTTTTATTTTTATGCAGATCTGGCAACCCGATGAGTGAAAGATGTTGCTTAGAAATATTGAGACCTGAGGTAGGTGTGAGCAACTGAAGTGGGCCAAGGGTCGAGGCTGAGTGACCTGAGACACCAAGAGGATGAGTCCGAAAGGACCAGCGGGGAGCAGGCTGTGTGGTCAGAACTCTGGGCAGCGACTGGGTGTGGAAGGGGCTGAGCCCAGGCAAGAGCCCAGAGCTAGAATGTGTCAGGAGAGGATTGATGAGGTTTCTAGTTTGAAGCTTCCTTTTTAAATCCTCACCTGAGGCTATATTTTCATTGTTTTTCAGAGAGAGTGGAAGGGGC